AGAGCTTACTTTGGAGATGCATTTGAGCTTATGGTTCAAATGGACTTCACACCAAATGATTACTAGTTGCATTAGCTCAAACAACATCACATCTTCATGCCATGTTCATGCATCATATTGTTGCATATGTTTGTGTATTGATTGCCGGCACCGTTCCTTCTCGATAGGTCCTGCTCCGGAGCTGTTCCAGAGTACCTGTCTATGAAGCAGTGCCTCCCTTGTTGATTTACCAGGCAAGCAAACCCCCTTGTTCATTCCGATACAATCCTACTCTCCCGCTCCTGCTCTCAGTTATTGCATTAGGACAACAACGATTCATCTGCTACTTTGTGCTGCGGTAGTTGAACCCATTCCTCTGCATGACCTGTCATTGCCACAGTAAATAGTTGAAACCCACTAGCATGTGTAGGAGTTGATTGAGCCATGTTGTGTTCCTACCATGCTATGCCTGCTATTGCTTAGAGTTGTGTCAGGTCTGGTTCATTGGGAATGAATTGGAGTGTTACGATATGTTCTGATGTTGAGAGTGAAGTGTGTGAACACGATTTGGTAAAGGTAGCGGTGAGAGGCCATGTAGGAGTACATGGTGGGTTGTCTCACTGGAACCGTCCTTAAGCACCGAGTTCTATGTATGTTGTCCAATGACTCGATACTACCACACATTGGGCTCCGGGCGCTCCAAGCCCTCTCGACTTATTAACCGACTTGATCTCTGTCCAGGAGTCGCAACTAGTTTCTGGTGTTTGTAGGTAGTGCTATTTTTCTACCAAGTGGCACCCGGCAGGGTGGGCTTGGGACAGACTAGGCACACGTGGCCTGGTGTACCGAGTGGCACCCGGATGGTGGGCTCGGGAACCTTGCACACATCGTTTGGGGCCGTGAGCGACACCCCGGCCGGATCTCCTTGCGGATGGAACCCGAATAGGCGATAAACCTGGATTAGAGTCTTGTGTGGTTAGTCAGGTCGTGGCCGACACCCTCGCCAGGCTTCCGCTTGAAGGTTGCCGAGATACATGACGTGTACATGGCGGTAAGTGGCGAGAGCGTGTGTGAAGAAGTACACCCCTGCAGGGTTAACATGATCTATTCGAATAGCCGGGTCCGCAGTTATGGACTTCTTGGATACTTACATGGTACATAGACAACTTGAAGTGGATACTCTAAAATGCTCAAGACAAGTGTGAGTGCTATGGATGACCTTCTCGTAGGGAGACGGGGATGAATCCATAGTAGTGTATTGTGTGGTGATTAGTGGACTCGTGTGCGCCATATCACCTCAAGAGTTTCTGGTAGTCGTAGAACAGGATAGCCACAGAGTCAAAGCTGGCTTGCTGCAACTAAACCCCACATTACCCTCTTGATACAAATGCATGTATGATAGGATCTGATGTAAGTCTTGCTGAGTACCTTTGTACTCATGTTGCTTTATTTATGTTTTTGCAGCGGAGACTTCGGTCTTATTAGTGTTCTCGTGGACTTCGACTAGTAGCTAGTCCCTCAGCTACGATCTTGATCGGACGTTGTAGATAGTCAGGCTTTCAGCCTTTTTGATTTATAGATGTCTGTACTCAGACATGTAATGCTTCCGTTTGTTGCTTGATTGCTCTGAATGTTGGGTCATGTGACCCCTGTTTGTAATAAATGCTATGATGGCTCTTCTGAGCCCTTATCTATATGAGTTGTTGAGTTATGCTGTGATGCCATGTTGTACAACACATACTTGCATGTTATGCATACGTGTAATGTGTATTGCTATGTGTGGGATCTGACTATCTAGTTGTTTATCCTTAGTAGTCTCTCTTACCGGGAAATGTCTCCTAGTGCTTCCACTGAGCCCTGGTAGCTTGCTACTGCTCCGGAACACTTAGGCTGGCCGGCATGTGTCCTTCTTCGATCCTGTGTCTGTCCCTTCGGGGAAATGTCACGCGATGAATACCGGAGTCCTGCTAGCCCGCTACAGCCCGGTTCACCGGAGTCCTGTTAGCCCAGTGCTACAACCTGGATTCACTCGCTGATGACCGACACGTTCGATGCTGGGTCATGGATGCATGTACCTGTAAGTTAGTGCCACTTTGGGTTTACGACTAGCCATGTCAGCCCGGGCTCCTTATCATATGGATGCTAGCGACACTGTCATATCCGTGTGCCAAAAGGCGCAAACGTTCCCGGGCAAAGGTAAGGCGACACCCGTGGGGATACCGTGCGTGAGGCCGCAAAGTGATATGAGGTGCTACATGCTAGATCGATGTGGCATTGAGTCAGGGTCCTGACAAGACATGACCGAGACACCTCTCCAGTCAATAACCAATAGCGGAACCTGGATGCTCATATTGGTTCCCACATATTCTACGAAGATCTTTATCGGTCAAACCGTTATGACAACATACATTATTCCCTTTGTCATCGGTATGTTACTTGCCCGAGATTCGATCATCGGTATCTTCATACCTAGTTCAATCTCGTTACCGGCAAGTCTCTTTACTCATTCTGTAATGCATCATCCTGCAACTAACTCATTAGTCACATTGCTTGCAAGGCTTATCATGATGTGCATTACCGAGAGGCCCCAAAGATACCTCTCTGATACTCGGAGTGATAAATCCTAATCTCGATCTATGCCAACCCAACAAACACCTTCGGACATACCTGTAGAGCATCTTTATAATCACCCAGTTATGTTGTGACGTTTGATAGCACACAAGGTATTCCTCTGGTATCCGGGAGTTGCATAGTATCATAGTCAAAGGAATATGTATAAGTCATGAAGAAAACAATAGCAATAAATTTTAACGACCATTATGCTAAGCTAACAGATGGGTCTTGTCCATCACATCATTCTCCTAATGATGTGATCCCGTTCATCAAATGACAACACATGTCTATGGTTAGGAAACTTAACCATCTTTGATTAACGAGCTAGTCTAGTAGAGGCTTACTAGGGACATTGTGTTTTGTCTATGTATCCACACATGTATAAAGTTTCCGGTTAATACAATTCTAGAATGAATAATAAACATTTATTATGATATAAGGAAATATAAAATAACAATTGTATTATTGCCTCTAGGGCATCTTTCCTTCAGTTACAGATACCCACCGAGGACCAGCGCGACACTGGCGCGGTAGTACTGTCGGAGTGGTACTGCCGGCACAAGTAAGCAGTACTACCATGAATTGCAGGTGGGATAACCGAAACTCCCATGATAGTACATGCGACACAAAAGTGGAAGTACCACACAAGCGGTACTACCGGCAATTACAGAAGGGCAACAAAGACCCTCATGGTAGTATGCTCGGCACTCAAGCAGAAGTACCGCACAAATGGTACTACCGTGCGAGACAGGGGTACTACCGGTAATTACCAGAGGGCAACAGAGACCCTCACGATAGTGGACATGGTACAACCATGGAAGTACCACACAAGCGGTACTACCGTGGATACCAGTGGTACTACCGCTTGGTAAAAGGGTGTAAGGACAGAACACAACAGAAGAAATGCTACAAGGTTGAGGAAGGCAGCGTGGGTGCATACAGGTTGTGTACGCGTTGAATCCACCCATACATTTCACTGTGGATCCCATTTTAATAGTACGGATTTTCTACTACTCAAATAAAAAAGCGAAAATCCGTCTTCGCTCTTTTCCTAATAAAGGGGAATAAAACTGTCTCGTACCATCGGTATGAATGACTAAAATGCTCAATGCGTACAACTAGTCCATAAAATACATTGTTATCAACAACAATACTAATTAGAAAGAGACATGCCCTTTCACCCGCCATTGGAGAGAGAGAACAAGAGGAGAAAGAGTGAGACCGGTCCGACTCATCTCGGTCGACTCAAAGTCATTCGTCCGACCGAGCCTTAACGACCATTATCCACCCATCCTCATGATTGTTGCCACGTCAAAACATGGCTCTACACACGCTAGTGCTTTCTGTCAAAGATAAATTCTGCGTTTGGTGCTTTTTGCTAGCTGCTATCATTGTGATTTCTTTTCTTCTAATAACGCCTATATTACAGTGGTTTTAAGGCATGTCCAAAGCTGACCGGCATATGATTACGGTATATGTCTGTTTTTATGTTCAGACATGGTCCACAGACATAATGTGGGAGAGAGTCATCCAACCCTTTTCACAAAAGGCCTATTAACTTGGTCGACTAAGACTTAACGAAGTCTAAGTCGAGTGACGTCAGCGTAATTGTGGTGCTGCAAGCGACATGGCTAAATGCTGCAAATGGTGATGAAAATTGTTGCGACATTACTGCAAGCAATGGAAACATTTGCTAATTTCGTTCTGACTAAAAATTCTACAACCGTCAAAGAAGGATGTTGCAACCGGTGAGATGACGTGCTACAATAAATGAGGGAGGACATGCTACAACTAGCAAGACAGATGTTGCAACTGGCAAGAAAAAAATGTTGCAAACGATGGGACAAAATGCTGCAAGGTCGACTCAGACCTCTTTAAATCTCAGTCGACTGAGTTTTAGCAAGTTCGTTTCATAAATTAATCCTTATTTATCGGCTTGGGAGGAGAGAGAGGAAGGGACCATGCATGTGCAGAAAGAAAAAAGGAGAAGGACCACGTGCTAACTTTTTGTTGCTTAAGTAGATGTTCGGATACCGGTATAACTCCCCATGGGGTTTTCATTGGATGACAAAAGTTGACACAAACGATTCAGACACTACAACCCACACATATACCGAAGTTGAAGGGTCTCCTTTGAAGACGGCCTTATGCATTTCACTCTTTTCAACTGAGTTGCTACAGTGGTGTTGGCCTGGATGGTTTTTCTCCACTAGAGGCAAGCCGTTCAGCTCCCACCACCACGCTCACCACAAGGCTCAACCGAGCCACCACCAGCTCTCATAGTGGCATCGGATCGGAACCAGGGCCCACGCGGCCAACCTCACTAACTACAAAAGCCAACCCCATCGCCACCGGCTCGCTGCTAAGAACACACTCCCGCCCCACCCCCACCCCCACCGACAGCAGCAATGAAGGCCCTCACCGGCGACAGCAACGCCTCCGCGCCGCTTCTGCTGGCGACTAAGATCAGCATCCCCGCCTCCTCCACGGGCGGGGCCGCGGAGGCCGCGCTCCTCGGGAAGGGGCGGTACAAGGTGTGGGCCCTCGCCGCCATCAGGGCCGGCCCTGGGCCATGGCGAGGAGTGCGGCCGCCTAGGGCCCAGCCTGAGCAGGGGCCCATGCCCTGTGCATATATTATATGCAAGTAGGTATATATATTCCCAACAAATATTGTACTAGAACGCAAAAGAAGCAGCGCAGCCCATTAAGAGAGGAAATAGGCAGCTCAGGCGCAAACACAAATCCCAGAATCCCTTTCCGTTCGTTCTCTCCAAGAAAGACGCCGCCAGCTCGTTCGTCTCCCAACCGCCATCGTCTTCCTCACCAATTGATTGTCCCGATTTCCGAACAGCCCAGGACCCCAACTCCCGATATTAATCAATGTTTAATTGTATCATTATCTAATATAATGGATTTCTTTGGTTTCTCTCATCCTATAAATACTCCAGGGCTTTAGGCGGGCGGAGACGAGGCGACAGACACACCGCCCTTGGAGGTACGCAAGAGCAGCAGCCTGCAACATGTGCCGAAGATTCATAGACAGCCAAGTCATTGCCCATTCATGAAATTTCCGGATCTCAGTTCTCTGGCCTTGTCTATTTATTTCTGCTCTTATGTTTGAACTTCTTGATTCCTCTCTTTTTGTATGAAGATGGCATATTCAGTAGATTCTGCTGATTGTAGCATTGACTGAAAATGACTTTGCCAAATAAATTCATTTAAGCAGATGCGATTTTTTAATTTTGTTAGAGTTGTAGGTGTCTAGTGCTTATCAAATTCTCTTAACTGTTCCTGCGACTGTAGCAAGTTTTTACTGCGAAGGATATCTTGGATAGCATTGATCTTGATGCTATTATTAGCGATTTTGCATGGAAAAATGCTCGAAGGCGTTGTTTCTCTTTAGCATGCCATTCACTTGTGCTCTGTGTATTTTTCAGGAGAAAGGCAAAAGGCATACGGCAAACAACAGCTCCTCTGATTTTTGCTGATCTGGAGCTATAATTTCTGTCAAATTGGATCAAGAAATTAAGAAGAGTTAAAAGAAGACTTCTTGGTTGCTGGTTGTTGGAGCATGTGACATATACATGATGTATTAAGACCATATTTCATATCTGCTAATGAAATTTACACTTGCTTTTATTAACTTTTTGTGGTACACATAGGTGTGGAAATGAATTTTTAGTGTCTATTATAGTGTATGGGCCCATTATATGGAGTTCGCACAAGGGCCCCTCAAATGTCAGGGCCGGCCCTGGCCGCCATCGCGCTCCTCGCGCTCTGGTCCATGTCGGCCGCCTCCGTCTCCCTCCGCTGGTCAGCCGGCGACCTAGCAGCCGCTGTCTCAGGGGACCTCGACGCGCCACTCCGTGACGATCTCGATTCCCTCGTAAGATTTTTTTTTGCTTTTGTTCGTTTCGCAGTTCGCACCCCCTCCGTATTCTTACCTGCCAAGTGCTTGATGTATGGTCTGTTCGTACGCGCAAGCTCAAATGTGTGTTTCACAACAAGGACTGCCCGTGAAGAATCTCTTCTTGTATCCGGATCAGGAGGCCCTTTAGATAAGGCATCCGGATTGTTGCGCTATCCACATTTCTTTGGAAAACAAATCCGCTTATATTTTAATGTCTGACGAATGCCACAATTTTATTGCTACATTTTTGCAAATCACAATCTCGCCAGGAACTAAAGAGATGGCCTAAGTTCTCTAACTCAAGAGCATTTCTTAGAACACGTAGTTGCTCCTATACGTTCCTTAATTATTTTCGGAAACACTAACGCCCACACGTGTGGAACGTCTCCAACTCGCCCACACGCCTGGATCGTCGTTGGTTGTTTTTTGCACGAATCCTGACACCAAAAGATGGATTTGGTGTGCCACGTAGGACAAGCCCGGTGTGTGGTGTGTAGGTAGTTTGCCTGCGCGCTGTTTCTCCCTCGGACGAGACCGGTTGCGAGTCGGGGCGTGCGGTGGAACTGCTGTCGCGCCCGCACGCCGCGCACGACTTCTGTTCCCCATCTCCCATGACTGCCCTTTTTCTCACTCTCCCACACCGAGTTGTCATTTGCCATGTTTTCTGCAGGGTACATGGCAACTGCCCTATTTGTGATTGTAAGCAGATGGCAACTCTCTTTACCCCGAACATGTTATTGTTGCCACGTCTGTTTTTGTAGCGCTAAATGGCAACTGTCCAGTGCTAGTGCGTGGCAACTGCCCTATTTGTGATTATAAGCAGATGGCAACTCTCTTTACCCCGAACATGTTATTGTTGACGCGTCTGTTTTGTAGCGCTACATGGCAACTGTCTAGTGTTAGTAGGTGGCAACTCCTAAAGATACCACCGTCGCCCACATGCCCGTCTCCTCTCCCACACACCAAAAGCTATCAGTTGCCATGTGATTTTGCAGGGTACATGGCAACTGCCCTAGTGTGCTTGTAAGCAGATGGCAACTCTCTCTTTTACCCGAACATGTTTTTTGCCATGTTTTTGTAGTGCTACATGGCAACTGTCTAGTGTTAGTAGGTGGCAAATCCTAAATTTTTCAAATCATGGCAACTGTAGTAGACCAGACCATACATGGCAACAGCTACAGTTGCCCAAAAATGGCATCCGACACTTGACCTGAGATGGCAACTGCAGTTGAGCAACCATGGCAATTGTAGTTGTCAGACATGGCAACTACAGTTAAACAAACATGGAAGAGGGTTCGGACCATGGCAATCGCGGCGGGACGCGTGGTTACTGCCACGCGGGGCGTGTGGCTCGCAGGCGGGGAGGGGCGAGGGCCGAGACGGGTCGTGCGGGCCGTGAGGTCGCTCGCACGGACGTGCTAGTGCGGGCGATTGCGCCGCACACCGAACGTGCGGGCTGTGGTGGGGTGCGCGCGGACGTGCTCGTGCGGGCGGGCCTGTGTCGATGCCACACGGGGCGTGCGGCACATACCCCCTAGATGCCACACGTGTGGCAGTTATTGTCGTCCATTATTTTTTGAACTTTTTTTGCGATGTTTTTTTCTCTTCTCTTATTCAACTTAAGTGTAGCCACAAACTAAACACCCCCAAATTTTGCGCACCAAAAAATTCTTATCATTTGAGAAGGTGCTCATTGTATTGATAGTTGGCATTGGAAAGCATAACACTATAGTTGTTTGGTTATTGGATTCTGAATGAAAATAGGCTTGTTATAACTGAGCAGGAGATGGAGGAAAGGGAGAAATTAGTTGGTCGGATGTGGGACATGTACACACGCACCAGCGATGAGGTACGCCTTCCACGGTTCTGGCAGGAAGCATTCGAGGCTGCATATGAGGAGCTTGCTGGTGATGATATGCAGGTCTGCGACACGGCCATCTCTGAGATTGCTCGAATGTCAGCCCACAGACTTGAGCTTGAGCAGCCTGTGAATGCGAACGAGGTATGTTCAGAGCATCATAGTTCAAAACAGAGTACTATTATGTTTATTCTTGTTAATACAGACCTACGTTCCCCCTCTTATGTTGTAAATAGTTCGTGTATTCTTGTTCACTTTACTTTGTAAGCATTCGTCAGATCTTGGACCCAATTGGTCATAATTTCTTAGTATGACTGATTGCCAATTTTCTACTATATTGATCTTACAATGCTCAAATCAGTGATAGGTGATCCATATGAATACATGGGTACCTCATATTATTCTTGAAAAATAATGTTTGGCACAGGCGACATGTTCAACAGTTAGGTGTGGCGGAGATGCGTATGTTGAGATGGATGTGTGGCCACACGAGGAAGGATCGAGTCCGGAATGATGATATACGAGATAGAGTTGGGATAGCACCAATTGAGGAGAAGTTTGTCCAACATCGTTTGAGATGGTTTGGGCATATTCAGCGCAGGCCTCCAGAAGCTCCAGTGCATAGCGGACGGCTAAAGCGTGCGGAGAATGTCAAGAGAGGGCGGGGTCGACCGATTTTGACATGGGAGGAGTCCGTTAAGAGAGACCTGAAGGATTGGAGTATCGACAAAGAGCTAGCTATGGACAGGGGTGCGTGGAAGCTTGCTATCCATGTGCCAGAGCCATGAGTTGGTTGCGAGATCTTATGGGTTTCACCTCTAGCCTACCCCAACTTGTTTGGGACTAAAGGCTTTGTTGTTGTGTTGTTGTTGTATAGGCGTAACAACACAGTTTGCACCTATATATGATCATTAGTTGTTGTCCATACATTTATCTAAGTTAAGCATGACATGCTAATTTTGGCACAAGGTATTTTTCATTGTAGCAATTCTCATGAAAAGCTTCGGTAAGTTCATCATTCAAAATTGTTAGATTTGCATATAATTTCTTGTAAGCTAGCATGTGGTACATTTTCTTTACAGCTGTGGATTGCATGTATGGAATATTAGAATGTGAGGAGGAAACATATTCTTTCATATATTCCTTTTATGCATAACACATAAGGGATGATAAGTTTTAGCTATGGACAAGACTCCGCAGGACAGCCTGAGCAAATAACTTCTTAAAGTCACAGTACAGAACTTCAAAATATAATGCTTTGGAAGTTATGCTTTGCATTTCCTGCTCAGCTCCAAATTGCTGATTCTTTTGTGAAGTAATTCTTTCAGCAAAGCACCCAACATTTTGGTGAACTTCAGAAAAACATCATAAAACGGAGAATTATGGAGAATAGCATTTACATTAACTTGCCGCCCACCAAAGTTATAAATTGATCACTTTTCCCTGCTTGTACATTATTGCATTTTGGTGCTAACCTGCCCGCTTTTTGAGACAGTCACAGAACATCACTCTTGTCATTTACAAAAAAAAAAACCTCTGTTTTTGCCTTGAACATAGTGCAAGGATATGGCAAATTTATCATTTCTGGTTATGATACCCTGTGAGCTTGAGGTCAAGCTTCACACACGAAACATCCATATAAACACAACATATGGTCACCAGAAACATGTGATGGTGCTTCACACCACAGCCACAATGTGGCTTCGCATTGCTTTTAATCCCTCCCAAAAGAAGCTACAGTAAAACCGTCACTGTAATTTTAATACTCCCTCCGATCCATACTAATTGACGCTGCTTTAGTACAACTTTGTGGGTCAGAGGGAGTACTATTTGCCGTAGTTGTTCCTGCTTAATGTTTACGATTTGATTTTCCCACCTAACCAGATTGCAAGTCATTCTGGTAGTTTTGTTTCTGCTGAGCTTATTTTCCCTTTTGACTCGAATACGCACGAGTGTGCGTACTATATATTACTTATTTTCCCTTTTGGAATACATCACCTCTATCTGCTTAGCAGGATTACAAAACAAACCTAGTTAGCTCTGCAACCATTCTTGATGAAGTTGTCTTTGAATATATGAAATGTGAAAATGATATCAATGTGCAGCGAGATGTGAATTGTGATGTATGATCTAGAAGAATTTTGGCAACTCAGCAAATTGTGTAGCAACTGCAAACATAAACCCGAGCTTCTCAAAATAGTGTCTTGTTTCCAGAGGACCAGCCTGTTAACCGCCAAACTTGCATTTATGCTTATCATTGAAGTTTCCAGACGACTAGCCCATTTGCTACCTGGAACTGTTAGGTATCTAGCATGGTTTTCTTATTCTGTCACTATTTGCAGGAAGAGGGCAAGGTAAGCATCAGGAATAATGATCATGGCAGAGTGAAGCAGTAGCTTCAAAACTGAAGATCTATAACGGTTGCGGACAACAGATATCAGCAGCTGAGCTTCGAAGCTTTGATGTAAACTGAAATTTTCTGTATGGGAGGGCAAGCAAAAGCTTGCCATGATGCAAAGTTTTAACTTCCCCGCAGTAAAGCATTGTATTATACTTGTATTATTCATAGGTCCTGATTAGAAATGCCATGCCATTTGCTATATGTAGTAACGTGGAATAGTAGCAAGATCATGCTGTTTTTGTTTGAAAAAACATGGTTGTTTTTTCTTTGAGTATACTAGCCAGCACCACGGTAATAGTAGCTGATGTTGAGGCAGCTCGTCAAGTCCTGCCCAAACACGAGGCAGCAGCGCTTCCCCATGGAGGCGGCCGCCGCCTCGCCGCCGCGGCACTGGTCCGCGGGCGGCACGAAGCACCGCGGGTGCACGTCCACCCGGCACGTCCCGCACCGGTACCTCCACGCCACATCGAGGCCGCGCACATAGACGCCGGCGCGGCGCCGCCATCCGACTTCTTGACGAGCCACGCGTCGTGGCCGCAGGGGTGCGCCGCGGCCGGACCCCGCGCCACGGGCGGCAGGCGGACGCAGAGCGGGTGCACCACGACTGTCGCGGAAGCGCACCCACCGGCGCTGCAGCCGTAGCACGCGCCCTTCACGTCCTCCCAGGGCCGGCCCTGGGCCATGGCGAGGAGTGCGGCCGCCTAGGGCCCAGCCTGAGCAGGGGCCCATGCCCTGTGCATATATTATATGCAAGTAGGTATATATATTCCCAACAAATATTGTACTAGAACGCAAAAGAAGCAGCGCAGCCCATTAAGAGAGGAAATAGGCAGCTCAGGCGCAAACACAAATCCCAGAATCCCTTTCCGTTCGTTCTCTCCAAGAAAGACGCCGCCAGCTCGTTCGTCTCCCAACCGCCATCGTCTTCCTCACCAATTGATTGTCCCGATTTCCGAACAGCCCAGGACCCCAACTCCCGATATTAATCAATGTTTAATTGTATCATTATCTAATATAATGGATTTCTTTGGTTTCTCTCATCCTATAAATACTCCAGGGCTTTAGGCGGGCGGAGACGAGGCGACAGACACACCGCCCTTGGAGGTACGCAAGAGCAGCAGCCTGCAACATGTGCCGAAGATTCATAGACAGCCAAGTCATTGCCCATTCATGAAATTTCCGGATCTCAGTTCTCTGGCCTTGTCTATTTATTTCTGCTCTTATGTTTGAACTTCTTGATTCCTCTCTTTTTGTATGAAGATGGCATATTCAGTAGATTCTGCTGATTGTAGCATTGACTGAAAATGACTTTGCCAAATAAATTCATTTAAGCAGATGCGATTTTTTAATTTTGTTAGAGTTGTAGGTGTCTAGTGCTTATCAAATTCTCTTAACTGTTCCTGCGACTGTAGCAAGTTTTTACTGCGAAGGATATCTTGGATAGCATTGATCTTGATGCTATTATTAGCGATTTTGCATGGAAAAATGCTCGAAGGCGTTGTTTCTCTTTAGCATGCCATTCACTTGTGCTCTGTGTATTTTTCAGGAGAAAGGCAAAAGGCATACGGCAAACAACAGCTCCTCTGATTTTTGCTGATCTGGAGCTATAATTTCTGTCAAATTGGATCAAGAAATTAAGAAGAGTTAAAAGAAGACTTCTTGGTTGCTGGTTGTTGGAGCATGTGACATATACATGATGTATTAAGACCATATTTCATATCTGCTAATGAAATTTACACTTGCTTTTATTAACTTTTTGTGGTACACATAGGTGTGGAAATGAATTTTTAGTGTCTATTATAGTGTATGGGCCCATTATATGGAGTTCGCACAAGGGCCCCTCAAATGTCAGGGCCGGCCCTGCGTCCTCCCCGCACACCTCGCACCTGACGTTGCCGTCGCCAGCGCTCTCGCGCCGTTTCAGCCTGTGCTGGGAGTGGACGATGGACTTGAGCGTCCTGGGGAAGCTGCGCGCGCATACCTCGTGGAGCTTGAAGCCACAGACGGGGTGGCCGCACAGGTACCGGGGCCCGGCGCCGGCGACCAGACAGCCGTCGCAGGTGAACTCGCCGTCGTCATCAGCGTCCGCTGGGAGCAGCCGGTGGCTGCCGTGGGCGACGGACCTCCTCCTGCTACACATCCCTTCCAATAATGCAACGAATACTCCACTGCTACTGAGCTTATTTAAAGTAGACCAATCTATGGCTTGTGGGGACAGCAGCTGTTTTGAAATGTAAACCTTGTGGAAATTACTTGTACTCCACTAGCCAATCGCGCATGGATTGAATTGTCCGTTTCTTGGAAATAACACTTGAATCATCAACAAGTGGCCACGAGACAACGGACCGCATGTTCATGGGTAATGCGAGACGACTTGGACTACAAGGGCATCTACAACCCATTCGGCAAATTTAAAGCTCTAAATGTTGTTCTCCTGGAAGACCACACTTTTCATATATAAACCTTCATATCCATGTAAATTTGATTCTAAAAAAACATGTAAATTTATGCATGTCCATTATATAGCACAAATCATCGTCACTTAAATAATTCGACAAAACAGAGTAAACCATGCTTCAACAATTCAACACATGCCAAAATAAAATTCAACAATTTATACATACATAGATTTGCGATACATGAATGAATTAAACGCCTCCATTGTTGTGCTTGTTAGTCCTCTTCTTTATGTTGATCAACCATTTCTTGTCTGCATCATCTAAGAGGCTAGAGTCTTTTAATATGATCTTCGACTCCTCCGTTTCTCTCACAAGTCTCAATTTCTCTCTCCTGAGCTCAATTCCTTGCAATGTCGCTGCCTTTTTAAGCTCTTGTTTTGCATATTCTCTCACTTCTCCAAGTCTATTCTCTCCCTCCCAATGTTCAACTTCTCTTTCACCCTCTTTCAGTCAAACTTCATCACCTCGCGTTGCACACCTATGAAGAGCTTGTACCTCTCCTCCTTCTTCACCTCCTTGGAGGAAAAAATGCCCGTCCATATGGTAGACATTTTGATTGCAACGCCATCACGTGTGTCCCTCTCCTTCTCCCAGTTGTTTCTCGTCATCTATCGGTTTCTCTTTTGCATGATAGCTTGTACGTCCGCCGCTCCA